TATTGCATTGGTCCTCATGACGGAACGTCTCATTGCTTGTCACGACGATAGCGTCGCCAATTTACAACGGATCTCTATCAAGCTCAACATACTACTTCTACAGATAAATACCAAAGTCAAGTTCGAAGATGAGGTTAATCGGTCAAGTAATTCAGAAATACCAGGATTTCAAAGTTTTGAAAATCATAAAAATTCATATTTCTTCACTTTCTTACTCCAATAACTTTTGAATGGGATAACATTGAAATTCTGTAAAATGCATCTGAAAGCTCTTTAAATAATCTTCAATTTGAGTACTATGTCATATGTGTAGTCGTAAAATTTTTTAGAAATGCCAGGATTTAAAAATTTTCAAAATTATAAAAATTCATATTTTTTCACTTTTCAACCCGAATAACTTCGGAATGGGATAACTTATTGAATCTCTGTAAATTGCATCTGAAAGCTTTATAAATAAGCTTTAATTTGAGTACCATATCATGTGTAGTCTTAAAATTATATCCTATTCCGCTATGCTAATTATGAAATTTGCTATTGCACTGGTTTAAAAATTCTTCTGTCGATATATATTTTCGTCGATTGCATAGAAGTTAAAAATCCTAGTTTTTTCTACAATCCTCGTTCTATTTTTTCTCTATTCATGATGAAATCTACTTCCATTTCGGTTGCCGAATGGTCTTTTTTATTTTTATACCCTTGTTAGTTCGCGGAATCCAAATATCTTGCAAATTATTATCAAGATAATTTAATAGAGATTAATTCCATAATTTTAAAAAATTGATTTAATGCAATAGAAATGGAAACAAAATATGAAAATAATTAAAAAAATTTTCTGTTCATCAAATATGAAATCAGAAAAGACTGTAACTTGTCAAAAGATCCACTAATTGAGTCAAACTTTTTTTTTTAATCAATTGTTTAAAGGAATTATAGATCCTCTATCGCGAATGGCTACGTAACTCCAGTGTCATTTAATTGTAATCAATAAATAGAAAAAATAAAAAACCAAAAGACTGTATATCTGTATTTTTATGTAAAATTAATATGTATGGTGGTATATCTACATCTGCCATGTATATCCATCGCACCAAGTTCATCTGCATATTATTGTCCTAATAGAACTGTTTTATTTTTTTTTTCACATATATTTTTTAATTTTTCACATATCGAAGGTCTAATTAGCAATCGGTCTAACTCCTTATTTTTTAGAAGGTGATTTTATAACATTTTGATGAAGCAATAGTCTAATTATAAATTATTTGAATGATCTAAACCAAAATATTATACCTCCATTAGATATTAAATTATTTTTTAAAGTGATGATAAATTTTGAACTAATTGTTTTTTCATACAAATGGAAGATTTTCTAAAATGGAGTTAGACAATTTTCTAATTAGAACGTCGATATATTTAATTATTGTTTAATAATTGAATGCGCATTATGAGTCGTGCACTTTTCGATTATCCAAAATTTTCCTGTCTCCAACTTACAACAGATTTCTACCGGCTTAAATTTGAAATCGGGAGCGTAATTTGAGAAATTAGAGTTTCAATTGAAACATTAATTGTTTTTTAACAATCAATGCCTGTGTTAGTGCGAAAGCTTGAATATTCTGTACTCGATTCGATGGAGTATTGTACAACCCGTACCGGTAATCAGAGTCGTGACTACCGTTGTTACTTGTTCGCACGATAGTTCGATAGTGTCTGTGTCTATGCAGAATACGATTGAGAAGAGAAGAAAGAGATTTTGTTATAGTCAAGACTTTAACCTATGATTAACACTATCGGGTTAGTTGGGGTCGATACTCGTTCAACGATTTTGCCATCAAGTCCCGCCTTGATTTAAATACTTCCGCAATCGTCTCATCACCGTTAAAGCTTCTGCAATGCTGAATCCATGGGAAAGAAACTTTTTCGACAGTCAAAATTCAATAATTCATGAGGAATTAAGCTTTATTAATTATTAATGAATGATTTAATATTAAATTGGTTAATTAATAATTATTAACAGTTAATAGATAATTTATTAATTAAATAAGATTTATAAAATATTTAGCTATATTTAATAAATAAATAACTATTTATTGTTTACACAGAAAAAAAGAATTTTTTGCACAAATAAAATTTTGAGGAAGACCAAAGTTATTCTGGAGCAAGAAAAAAATTTTCTTGATTTAAAATTTGACTTCGTTTAATAAATTTTTAGTCTTTTTTAATATTTTCTTAATCCAATAAAATTTCCCTTAGTCAATAATTTTTCTTTCTGTGTAAAAATAACAAATAATCAATTTAAAAGAAAATTTTGATAACCCCAGCGATGATTTTTTTCAACATTGTGATTTTTATATCATTTACATGTACAATATGATTGGCAAGTACGATTTAATGACAAAATGTTGAGATCTTGGTTTTTAGGCATCCTAAAATATACCTTCGCAAAAGGGATTCAAAATTTAAAGTTTTTAATTCATAATTCGAATGAAATTTACTTAACTAAACAAGCGAGACGCGATTAAAAATCTGAAATAAACAAAATATACAAAGACATATATTCATACATAGAAGCTTGCGATGTTCAATTTTTTAAAATAAAAATCAGACGTTGCTCGTCTATAAGTTGTCTTTGGCAAATAACAAGATGATATATGGTCAAAATTCACGTGGGATAGTCGGATGAACGTTGAGATATGTCAGAAACAAGGAAGGATCTTGACGTGGCGACGTCCTGCCAAGTAGAACGTCTGCAGAAAGAGGTAAATAACAAAACTAGGAAAAATAACTCTGTATAAATGTATGAATGTATGAAGCCGTGGATAAATGAAACAAAACAAAACAAGAAGAGTACGAGTTAGTGCGTCTGTCTAGACACTCTGAGCTGAGGCTGAGCTAGCTCTTGCTCTTGCAGAAACTTGTAGATCAGACCTGTCTTTAGAGTTCTAAGTCTAAGTCTAAGTCTGCACTGGCCTAGTCCTCGTTCTTGATTTTTATTTCTTGTTTCTTCTTTTTCCTCCTCTTTCTTCCTTACTTAGTTGCATTAGCGTCAATCTTGACAGCCTAACTACACGCTTGGCTCAGGAATAGAAAAGAGAGCCTGAGAAAAGAGCTGTGTATACATACATTACACATACATTCTCTCCAAGTCAATCTCAATGCTCCCACGATGAAATAAAATAAAATCCCAGTATCGATTTATCGTGATATTCGCATCGACATTTACCTTTTTTAATTTGCCAACCATCTGTCTGTTAAATTCACCCGGATTTTATCTATTACGATTTAGATTTAGATTTATAAGAGTATTTGTTGATGTTGATGTTGTTGTTGTTGTTGTTGTTGTTGTTGTTGTTGTTGTTGTTGTTGTTGTTGTTGTTGTTGTTGTTGTTGTTGTTGTTGTTGTTGTTGTTGTTGTTGTTGTTGTTGTTGTTGTTGTTGTTGTTGTTGTTGTTGTTGTTGTTGTTGTTGTTGTTGTTGTTGTTGTTGTTGTTGTTGTTGTTGTTGTTGTTGTTGTTATTATTATTATTATTATTATTTTACAGGCGCTAGAATGCCTCGAAAAATTCCCGAACAAGGTTATGGACCTCAATAATATTATCGAGATTTACGCGCCATCTTCTGTCAAAAATGGAAATTTTAATCATGCTGTCAATAAATTTCCCGGCTCTGTTTCTTCCGGCAATGAAGTTGAAGATGAGCTTGATACACCGGATGAAAGTAAATTTTTTAGATTATTTATTTATTATTGTTGAAAAATTTAGCACCGGTTTTTTTTTTTTTTTTTTTTTACGAGATCAGGACTAAATATCCTGTATAATAATATCATGTCCAAAAATATCTTTAGACACAAGTGTCCAGGTCATTAATATTCTTGAACAAAATGGTCTTGTTAATACAATTTTATACATTTATTTGTATTTTTTTTTAATGCAATATCGATATATTAATGAATAAGGATATTTTTAGACAGGATATTTAGTTCCAGACTCGTTTTTAGGAGTAATCATGATTGATTAATTTTTGTTCAGAATTTGGCCACCAAAAAGTTAGTTAACTGTTTATAAATTTTAATTAATTTTTAATAAAAATACTTTTTCTGCCCTCCGGCCGGAAAGTGGCAACTTTCTGGCCGCTGCGCTAAACAAAGTTGCCACATTCCGGCTACGTCGAGCAGAAAAATAGTATACACACCTTGGCCAGTAAAAAGTAAAGCCTCAGATCACATGTTTGTCAACCTCGGCTTCGCCTCGGCCAACAATTACATGTGATCTGAGACTTTTCTTATTTTACTGGCCTAGGTATGTAATATACTATTCTTTCAAAAAAATATTCATTAACAGTTAAAAAATATTTAGTTAAATTTGGTATACTAAAAAATTTTTTCCAAATAAATTAGTTTATCAACAGTTAATAAATGCTTCTATTAGTGTCGTATTCGAAGCAGCTTTATGAAAGTAATTTTTGAATTTTTTCCTTGCACCAATTTTTCATAGTGACTATGATTACTTAATTAATAATTTATTTTCAGTCTGTAAATCCAAAATTAAATTAAAATTAATATACATGTTCATCGAATCTTTAAAATTTAAATATTAAAACAAAATTATTCGTTATGAAAAATCTAAAATATTGATTAAAAAACTCCTTAATTATCTTAGTAGCAAGCACTTTTGCTTTATAAATAAACTTAATTTGAATCTCAAATTTTAATCTTAATTTTAATTATTTTTTACTCACATTTTATCTTTTTTTACGAATAAATAAAAGTGTAAAAAATAAAAATATCAAATATTCACAATTAATTTTAAAATAATGTATATCAATAATAAGTACATAAATTTGTCGATTTTTTTTTTTCATCTAAAAATTTTAATTTATAAATATTAAAAATTAATTACAAATTTCTAAAACAGTGGTCTTAGCTTTTATCATGTTTTTACCATTAAATTGACCATTAAATGAAAAAAAAAAAAAAATTAAAGCATATTTTCGACAATCAACATCTAAAAAAAAAAAAAAGTTAAATTTTAAAAATAATTAAAATAAAATTTTAAAGTTCCCATAAAATCAGAAAAATCAGAATTGGACTTGCGGTCGCTAACAAGTTATTACACATTAACAACCTACAAGGACCGAGGGGTGACTCTTAATGGAGTAGGAGGGGGAGGAGTTTGCAAACGTCGTTACTACCGAGTTGGTGGGCATCATCGGCATCTGCGTGGTCTTAATCGTCGCCGACCAGCAGCACTGGGTCAGCTTATAGGATTTATCGCAAGCAAATTAGCAGTCTGCACTAAGAATATTATAATTACGCCCTCTTCTTACGTCCTCCACCGCATTATCTCCGCAGTCTTTCGCAGGTAATATCTCTAGCTTAACAACTCCTTTCACTTAATTACTCATGATTAAACAGTACGAAATTAAGAGCACATCTTGTTTAATTCATCTCATACTTTCTCTAATACAATGTAACGTTCCGAGCCCCGAGCTGTGTTTCACTCGACAAACAAAGACCATAATTGTAATTGTAATTGTATAATAAACAAATAAATTTAATTAAAAACAGGCGGGAATTAAAAAACGCTCAGTGCGGACCTTGCGCCGACTGGAGCAGTTCACTTTCTGCTTGCGTAACCAATTTTAAGGATGATACAACCACTGTGGGGAGATTTATCAGTGTCATACGGCCTGCCGCTGTTCAACTAATCACAGACACTACTATCGTTAGTATTCAATTAATTATTTGTCACTTTAGTAATTACCCGTCAAATTATTATTAATAAATAAATGTTGAAATATTTTTTAATGGAATTTTTTATTTTTACAGCTGAAAAGATGGCTCCAGTCGATTGCAGCCAAGAATATCACACTGAAGGAACTCAACAATGCGACTCGTAATACTGAGACAATTGATTGCTGGGCGTATGAACTGTTTTTTCATTTGAAACACTTGCAGATTAATCGTGCGAAAGAAAAAGTAAGTTTTTTTATTTAGTTAGATTTGAAAAAATTGCTATCACAGTCCTGAGATGAATTTTTAATACTATCGAAATCGAATTTGAAATTGAGATGCTGGATGGTCAAATGATAAGAAATAGATAGAACTTGAGAAGAATCTTTTTTGTCGAGAATTTAATTTTTTAGCAAAAAAGTCTCATATAATTTTTTTCATCTTTAATAGGTAGTCCAGAATTTTGATTTTTAAGTCGTCGAAACAAATGATCTGAAAATCAAATTATAAATTGAACTTCTGATCAAAATAATAAGAGATAGGGGCAAAATGATAAGAATATTTTTTTTTTTGGACCATTGAATTTCCAACAAAAAAAGTTTCTTTTCGCCCAAGAAAATAATTAGCAAGAATTAGTATATTACATATCTAGGCCAGTAAAATAAGAAAAGTCTCAGATCACATGTAATTGTTGGCCGAGGCGAAGCCGAGGTGGACAAACATGTGATCTGAGGCTTTCTTATTTACTGGCCAAGGTGTGTATACTATTTTTCTGCTCGACGTAGCCGGAATGTGGCAACTTTGTTTAGCGCAGCGGCCAGAAAGTTGCCACGTTCCGGCCGGAGGGCAGAAAATAATAATTTCTGCTAATGCAAAAAATTTATTCCATTTTTTACGTTTGAAAAAATTTTAATTAGCAATCTTATAAAACTGCAATTAGAGAAAATCTTGACTCAAAAAAAATTATTCCGAAATTGATTCAACAAAGTTCGGATTTTATTATAATTATCAGTTACAAAATGTTTGAGCAATCAAATTTGCACAAAAGTTTTCTCTTTAAGTCATACCTAAACAATTAAAAAATTATAATATTGAAATTGCAAGACATGTATTATAATTTTTTTAGCAAATAAATTATAGCAAGAAAACTTTATTTTAAAAATTCTAGATTTGAAAGCTTTAAAAAAGTATAAATGCAATTTTTTTTTAATAATTTTCTAGACCCAGTTTATTTTTCGAGAACAATCAAAAAGTTATAAAGTATCTGCTAATTTCAGTGTCATAAGAAATTTCCTACTATATAAACCAATTAAAAATAATTATAAAGACAAAAAAAAATTGCATTGTTCCAGGTCCTAGATCCTGCAATGACGGACGACGTAACCCATCTAAACTTATGGCACCGCTTGGTCCAACTACGAGACAACTACATAATCCTCTACGAAAATCTGTACCTGGACCCAAAAATCCGAGAGATCCAGCAAAAAATTTAACAATCAATCTTAACAAAACTCAAATTTTTTTTTGTCTATTTTTTTTATTTTATTTTGATATAATCTTGATATTTTTTACACTCTACACCCCAATGGCTGAGAGCAATAAATAATTGTTAGCAAGAACAATAAAATTCATTTTGAAATTTCTCAATGATCTAGCCCTGCCTTTTATTCGCCACGGATATTTTATTTTATAAAGTTTGACATGTTTTGTTCTCAGCGATCGCTGTTACGACACTACACACATTGATACAGATATAACACATAAACACCTATTGCGTTTATTAAGACAAAGAAACCTTTCGGTTTCTTTCATCCTCCCTTGTAATAAATATAAACTGTACTATATAATATAATACATTAAACATCAATCTCGGACATTAACGAATCGGGTTATCTGTGTTCGAGCATAGAGCATTGATTTAAATTTCCGAGACTGTATAGTAAAGTATACAAGTAAAGAGTTACACCAATAACAAGCAGAAGAGCATAATGAACACACACATTACATTTAATGACTTTGACTTGTTGTTATATGTATCCGTCTGCTCAGGCTGTGCCTGAGAATACTTAAACTGGATAGTTAGTACTACTATTCTTGCGTAAAAGATCGATAAACAACGGCATTCATCATCAATGCAATCATTCATTTGTAACTTTTTATTTTTTATGTATTGATGGATAAATAATGCCCGAGAGTTTGCGTAATTTTTGTCGAGACGCTACGAAATGACGCTTCAGATTTGTTGTCGTTGTTACTGGAACAATTGAGGATTGTTGGCTGCTTTGATTTTCTTTTTAGTGTGGATACGATTTATTGGATGTCACTTTTACTGTGTTTAAATTTTTGAATGAGTAGTGAGTTTTGAAAAAAATTTCTTGTGTATCAACGAACTTACAAGCAGTTATTATTGTTTTATTTGGGAATTTATTGTGAAATAACAAGTAGTGTAAACACGGAACATTTTCTGGTAAATTCATGGTAAAAATTATTGGACTGTATAGTAATCTAGGGCAATCCCTAGCGGATCCGTATACACTGTGTATACTCGGAGTAAATTCGGTGTAAACTTGGTGTGGTGTATACTGGGGGGATACGGTGGGTATATTTGGTATTTTTCGAATAAACACTAAGTATAGATAAAAAATACACTCAATATACTCGGTGTGAATTCGAATCATATACCACAAGTTTACACTGAGTATACACCAAAAAAATTTTCTATCTCCAGACAGTGACAAAGTTGTCAGAGTTGTCAGTGAGGAAATTTTTTTCGAATAAAGAAAGTAGGTATGAATCGTCCGAAAAGGACCTGAAACGAACGAATAACAAATTCAGATGAACGTTTCTTGGTGTATTACTTTCAATGCGTATACTGTAAAAAATTTTTCAAGTCCATTAAGGTAAAAGTCCCTATTATGAGACGATGTCCCCATTTATGATACACTACATAAAAATACTATTTTATAAAAAAAACACACCGCTAGCATACCAAAAGTATAATAAATATATTATTTCATCTATTCCAAAAGCAATTTTCGACTTTGGTTGTTAATTGATTCCATACTGTTTTTTAAAAATATTTATTAAAGTGCGAGGTTTGTTATCTGTGCTCAAAGCCACGACCGAGAATAGTAAAACGACAACGGCTACCTAGTTTTTTATATTAGTGTAATTTCATTGTGTCTTCTACTTTTATATTAAATTGTATATCAATTGAAAGCTGATGAGTAATAGACTTTATTTCTAGTAATACACATTTATGCGTTTTTTTTTATTACAATATTTTAAATATGAGTGTCTCACAATACCTACACTTATTTACGTGAATGCCCCGGTTTATGAGACACTTTTCTCGGTGTATAGTGTAATACGGACATATGTTTTTCGGCTTCTCCCGATTAAGTGAGACAGTGTACATTTATAAGATTTTATATTGCTAATATGTGATATTAATTATAAAAATAGTATAATTATATGTTATAAAATATTGGCTACTATTAAACCTCAAATATTTTTCTAAAAGTAAGTATTTTAAGTCAAATAGTTTTAGATCATGAGCCTAACCTCAAATCATAACATAGAATAACTTTGTCAACAAGTTTTTCTGTTTTTTAATTAAATCTTTTGGATAAATTAGTAATTTTTTTCGGATAAAAAAAAAGTATATCTGTACGGACTGAAAATACCTTGAATTGGATAAGTAGCATAATTTTAACATGTATTTTCTTTAGTTTGAAAACTTCACTGTTTACATTGTCCAAAAATCTCAATATTTGTTGACTTTTACGCAGGCGCCTTGCGTAGTCTCAATACATTCTGTACTGTGCAAGTTAACCTACAAATAATATAAATTTAGTCATTAAGTCTGTTGTGAATGATATATTTATATTAATGTCATTATTTATAGAGTGAACAAAATCAAAAATACTTATTTTACTAAGTAAACAAAGTGATCATCTTTATTTCTAATATTTTTACTTTCTTACATCATGGACACTGGAACATGATGTCTTGATTTCAATTAATTTATCAGTTTCTAGCAGTTTGTAGCCCATTATTATTTATAAATTAAAAAAATTTTTTATAATTCAACACTTAAAAAAAATTTCAAACCCTGATGGGACTTTGAAATTTTTTTAAGGTGTAAACAGGGAATAAGTCATACACTGGAACATGGTGTCTTAATGTCAATAAATTTATCAGTTTCTGGCAGTTTGTAGCCCATTGTTATCGATAAATTAAAAAAAAATCAAACTCGGGGACTATAAAAAAATTTTCGGTGTATACGCGGCGTATACTTAGGATGAATTCAACACGTATACACTACACAGAAAAAAAAGTCATCTTAACTCAAGAAAATCTTTTTCTTCAAAATTTACTTCGACACTAGTTGGCGACGTGATTTTTTGGAACTAAACCGAGATTTTTTCAATAAAAAATTAAATTTAAGAAAATAACCTTATGCATGATTTTTATTGTTTGTGTTCATTTAATTAGACATTTTTAATTAATTTTTAACTTGCTGATTTCTCATTATATTACTGATTTACAGTTAAGTGTGTAGTGACGAAAATATTTGTATAATAAGTATTCGCTCGAGTCATACAAAGTACACGGTTAGAAATTTGTTGCGTTAATAACTCAATAACTATAAGTGATATCGACAATCAGAAAAAAGATCCTTAAAGAGGAGGAAATTTCTGAAAAAAGTCTCGACTCCCGGAACTCTAGGTCCATAAACAATAATTTTTATTTAATGTTGAAAATGGGTTTCCGCGCGGCTGCTGTCCTACTCGGGCCTCGATACGCCCGTGTGTACATCAAGCAAGTTCAAAAACCAAGAGAATGATTTACTTGGATTAAGAGGTTTTTTTCTTCACTTAAGTTGGTAAGCATGTTGGAACTAGGGAATATTTGCTTAAACCAAGATTGACCAAAACAAGAAAAAAATTTACTCAACTCAAGAATATATTTTATCTTCAGTTGAATATACTTGGATCAAGTAAATATTACTTGACTCAAGATGACTTTTTTTTCTGTGTATGTATACTTGGTGTATACTGAGCATAAACCGATCCGCTAGGGATGCATTACCATTTATGAATAAAAGCAATATTTTTTAAAGTTTGGGTCAGTAAAATTTACTGAAGCTTCTTGTAAAATAGAAAAAAAATTAATATAGCTTACCGCACCCATTGAATAGAATTATTGTTGGATATATCGTTACTAATGGAATATTTATTATTATTCTTATAGGTTTTACATTTTTGGAAAACTAGATTTTTATTTAATAAGATTGAATTATTTATTTAATTAATTTTTTTGATTTAATTTATTTTTTAAGGTTATTTCACTTGAAAATATATATAGAATAATAGTTAGTAGTAAAAAAAAAAATTACGAATGTCATCAAGTACATTTTTATACAAATAATCTTAAATTAATTGCATAAAATTTAATTAAAGTGATAATTGTATAAAAGTGTTGTAAGAATTAACTTTAATTGAGCAACAACTGATCATGAAAATGTGTAATTTTTTGTACAGCTGAGAAATTTTCAACAATTGCAACCCCGCCTTAAAGTTGCTGGTTATAAGTACTTAGATTTATTTTTACTGAAAAAACTCCGGTAAATTTTTCAGTAGTTTCAGTAAAAACACTTTATTTCGCTGTAATTTTTAATTCTACATTATTAAAAAAAAAAAATTCATCTTATCAATTGCTTACGTTTATTATTTTTTTCCGGTACACCACAGCAAAAATTAATGATATTTTTCTAAATTTTTTGCATTGTATTTTTGAATAAATAAAAATATGGCCACACATGGTCTGTTATGTTGATACATAATTTTGATATGCCTATATATGTGCCCTTATATTAAAATTTGGTATTTTGAGCCATGTATGGCCATATTAGACTTGATCTGTCCGTGTATAGCCTGATATGCCCATATAGAACCTGATAGGTCATATATGACCACAAATATTTTTTCGATCGCATTTGGAGTGAAAAATATCCGGTAGATGGCGTATGATCAATGAATCTTCCTCCTACAGAAGAGTTAAGTTTAAGGTATTTGATTCTAAAATAAAAATATTTTTTGTGACTCTTTTCAGTCTTTTCAAGAGTTGATCTGACATTGGTTCTTAGTTAAATCAACTAACTACTAAATCAATTTTTGGTTAATAAAACATGCTAATTGACGTAAACATTAATAATATTCAATAAAATAAATTGAAAGGATAGTATAAATATAATTGTTAGATTCTAGTAAGAGTACAACTCCCAAGTATTAACTCCCACATAAATTAGATCCTGTATTTATATTTATAGTTATATTTATATTTATAATATTATTCAGTTATAAAATTTATCATTGCGGTCGTAGGTATCCAGTAGCCGGAGTATTGCAGTTATTAGTGGTGGTAGGATGTAGTTTGTAGTGTATAGTAGTATTTTATTAAAGTTTAAGTATAAAGTATTAAGTATAAA